GGGGGGGCATATCAAAAGGACGCTGCGCAACCAGGGCTTAAACCCCACAGGGGCTATGTCGCGTCGGAAAATAATACTGCGGATGGTGTCTCGCACGGGGCAAAGGTTTTACCGACGGGCATCGCAAAGGGGCGAGGCTTGCGGAGGCGAGCGCGGGAGTCAAGCTAAGGACGCTTTCAGTACCTTTTTTTGCCAGTTGATTTCAAGCTTTTAATCTTCCTATAATTGGAAATATTTGGATTTTACCGGAAGGCCCCAAGACATACAAACGAGGGGCATTGTTTTCGCGATGGGGATTGGATATAAGGTCTCTCCTACTCTCGCCCTTTACTTCGTAGAGGAAGGTAAGATTTAGACTAATTTTTTTTTTTTTATGAGGGGGGGGGAAGAAGCTGCGACAAGAATTGCTACGCTGAATCTATTTTATACGCAAACTTGAAACGTATCATTCTTCTCTTGTGGGCCTTTCCTCCTTTTTACATTTATCGTCGACAAATATAGCCACTGAAATGGAAGTAAGCAAATGCAAGGTATTGCAATGTTGACCTTGACCCGAATCTCGATCGAAGAAGTCGAACGCATGACAAGTCTAATGGCACCCAAAGCCTCCGGAGAACAGCGTGGTCGGGTGCCTTTTACCTTTGTCCATAGGATGGGCTCGGCACAAAGGTCAAGCAAGTTGAGTGTTTTTTGAGTATTAAAAACGATGAAAGCCCCTCGCATCTGGACAACATGAAAACAAATTTTCCAATTTGTGAGACTCCGCGTTATCATTCACCATGCCGAAAAATCAGGGTTTCTTCAAAGCGTTTTGAGTGGCACTTGAGACCTTTCGAAATGAAGGGGTAGCTATTGAAGGGGGAAAACAATGCTATGCCAGCAATTCGAGATGGCCAGGAGACAACTAATTGACGAAAAGACCAATATATACCAAGATGGCCACGTTTATCCGGTGGGATTGCGCAGACAAATGAACCAAATACAGAATGAACTTAAGCAGATGGGATATCAGAAGAACCGGTTGCTTATTCATACGAAGCGGTTGCAGACGTGTTCCAACCACAAATACGCTGAGATACAACACTGGAAATCACTGGTGGGCCCGCATGGGCCAAAGGCAGAAAAGGGGCTTTGGGCTGAAAAATAATATCAGAACGTTTGAGGGAGCATTGAAGAATTTGTTAAGGACTTCCTCAGCGCAGCTGCTGGCAGCCTATCGCGATCCGTTCCCACCACCCGTTTGAACGGCATCTGGCATGTAGCAGGGGGGGGGGGATAATTTATTGGCCTGGCATTATTGCATTCGGCCCGAAGGCGTTTCCACGAACATGGAGAACTGGGCAGGAGACTGCCCTAACAGCTGCTAACATTACAGGTTGCTAGGGGAATTCGGGAACGAGAATCCATGCCGAAGCCGGAGCCACAGGCGCCCCCCCGGGGAAAGGAAACCCCAAATTTTCAGACTGCTTAAAAATAGAGAAAAAACATCGGAACCCATACCCGGAGCCAAGAAAGCCGCAGCCTTTCATCAGAAGGGGGGGCTCAGGCAGCAGAGGCGGGCGCAGCGTCCCGCCATGTAAGGTTTTTTGGGGGGCACGCCCCCACACCCCAAAGCCGCGAGCGGCAAAAAACCCCTTCTAGAAGAGGCCCCGCCTTTCAAAAACCCGCCAAACGAGGTTGCAATTGCCCTCGCACCGCCCGACAAACCGCGTGTCTTGGCGCAGGCTTCGGAGGCCAGCCGCGTCACGAAAAGCATGTGGGCGCATTTGCCGTGGGAAGAGCGGGTGCCCTTAGTGAGGTGATTTTGTGATTTTGAGACAAAGAAGCAATTTAGATGTTTGAGGAGGAAACATTCCACCCTTTGTTATAGATCTCCAATAGGTCAAAAACAATGCGGTTCAGCACACCCGAACTCTGCTAACTTTACCGGCTGCAGGGCAAACCCTGCCCAGATTTTTTTTGGCGAGCCTGCCGCAGAAGGCGGCAGAAAACCTAATAAAACAGGCCTGCCGTAGAAAAAGGTGGAAGCCAGATCGTTTCAGCGATTTGAATGACCCTGGAAAACGATCGGATCGCACAACGACTTGCATGGGTGACGGCCAGTGAGTGGGGCGAGACCGCTTTACACAAAAAGGAAAATTCCACACCACATCCGCAGGGCAAGGAAGCCCTCGGCGTTGGATTGGGTAGCTCCCCGAAAAACTTTCAAAATGGACCCACACGGAGCGGTCAGATACATGGAGATCGGCGAGGCCCATTTGAAGCAGGCGCGAGCCGTCACCAAGAGTATGGTAAAAAGGGAAAACCTAACAAAATTAGCAGCAAGGGAAATCAAAAAAATTTTCCCTGTATACGGTATAACGGCGTGTTCGGTAAAAAGAGGGGCACCCATCCACGCCGCAAACGAAGCGATTAAACACTATCTTGGTCCACGGCTGCTGACATAGTTTGAAGTTATAAGGCGACACTTAAATTTTCACGCAGCACAGCACGTTACTGAAGGTGCTTTCTCTCTGGTAAACAAGTCAGCCCGGTGGACGTTATGCATGTGGGCGATATCAAAAAATGGTCTTCACTTTCATGGGTCGTTCCGAATGCGGAGAAGAATGAAGCGAAACTTATTTTTCAGGGGCATAGCATTCTGCAACGCATCCGTCGCACAAGAGTAGCAGCTCAAAAGAAAAAAAAGGTTGACTTTGCAACAGGTTGACGCCGACACGTTATCACTCGGCCGGGTCATAAGTCGGTTGAATTGAAAGGCACTGCACAGCGGTTCAATAAAGTATGTCAAATCATGCGCCATCCTGCAACATCAAGGAAAGAAGAACTAGAACCCTCCTCTTGGATATCAGAAGATGCCGATATAATGAAAAAGGCTGGCATTTCCAAAAAAGCGCCAGCACAACACACTGCAGGTTGAATAGTGCCTTTTGCAGTTGCGGAAGAGAAACCATCAGGGCCAAGGCTACACTTCAAAGCATGGCCAAACTCTAAGAATTAACAGGGGATTGGCATCACATTCCAGAACTACCGTGGAATGAGCTCACGCGTAGCACGCCTACAGCAGCAGATCAACCAGCGACTCATGCAGCTAGCGGC